CGGAAGGAGAAGCTGGGGGAGGGGGCTGCCGTGGGGAGATACTGGTGTTGGAGAGAAGAATTGAAAGAAACTAGTGGGTGGCGAGAGGCAGGAACGGAGACGCTCCGCTGAGAAAGGAGTAAAAGCAGGAAAGCAGAGACAAACTACGAGAAGAAGCAAAGTAATAAAGAAAAGGGGAAGAGAGGAGATAAAGTGATTCCTCCGAGAAAGAAGAAAGCGAAGGAGGGGGAATACAGAAGGACTCCACTGATGAGAGAGAGGAGTTGAAAGACACCCCCCCCAAGAGACATCAAACAGAGACTGACTCTAAAACTCTCTCTCTCTCTTTGTCACACCACAAGGATTTGATGCCCCTCAGCCTGTTCACTTCTGTGTGTTCATGTTTCCCACAGGTTTCTCTTCCCCCAACCCCCCAGCTGCAGCCCAGGAGGTCAGACCTGCCACTGATGGTAATACCAGCAGCAGCTCCTCCTGCAAGAAGAGAAAGTTAAATAACAGCAGCAACAGCAATTCTGAAAGAGAAGAATTTGATTCCATTTCTTCCTGCGCCTCTTCTCCTTCCAAAAACACCTCCTCATCATCTTCCTCCGTCATCACCACCTCCTCGTGCTCCTCCTCAGGGGTTGCCTCCTCTAACCATCACCTCCAGAAGAAGCTGCGCTTTGAGGACTCCGTGGATTTTATTGGACTCGATGTGAAGATGGCTGAAGAGTCTTCTTCCTCCTCTTCTCCTGCTGCCTCTTCTCAACAGCAGCACCAACAACAGCTCAAAAATAAAAGCCTTTTAATTTCGTCAGTGGCTGTGGGGCACCATGCAAATGGCCTGACCAAAGCTGCCTCCTCTACTGTTTCCAGTTTCGCCAACAGTAAACCTGGCTCCGCTAAGAAATTAGTGATCAAGAACTTTAAAGGTAACAGGCCATAATTTGTCACAACCTATGGGGAGCTGGTGCTCAACTTTGTGTCTTGTTTTCAACATGAAAATCGGTTGGCTTTCAAATAGCTCCAAGTTTTACCGGAAATGCTTTTCTGTGGTGAACCTTTCTATACTTATGTAAAGGGGGAATAATGTTTTATGATGCATACTTGCCCAGTCACGTACACATCCTGAAGTACACTTCGCTGCTTGGGATTATTTTTCAGACTGCTTTCACTCTGTCTGTTGAGAAGGCCTTTGCTTGTATGTTAGACGAAAGGTTTTACTACCTAAGTGTGTGTAAATCTTCTTTCTTCAACCTTCTAACGTTTGATACCTCTTTCCTAGTAATCCTGATTCAGGGCTTAGTATATTTTTTTAGCCCAGTTTATGATAAGTCTTTGCACAGAATGCGTTTTTTAAATTGGGCCTGAATCTCTGTGTCTTGCCTCTATCCATGTTGTCTGTTTATAGGTTAATCTGCTTGTGCTTAGTTTTAAATGTTGAAACTAAGGTGATTATCAGGCTATTATGGCGGATTTCCTTTCTGGTTTCCCCACTTGCCTTTACAGTAGGTAGTTCAGATTTTTGCTGAGTGTTTTCCTTGCAATATCCTTGCTGTAATTTTTATTATTTAACTCTTTAATGTCTTCTCTCTGTCTTAACATACTGTCTTTGCAAGCTTACATTCTTTTATAAATTCTCTCAAAAGATGTGTTTGAGTTTCTCGAGTATTGTTACTAGAGACCAACTGAAGCAGAGAAATGAAACTTTTCTGCTGTGATGCTGCTTCATTTTCTAGTAAACAAAAATACAAATAGGTGTAGGCAGGAAGCTTAGCTAAAATTCTGTCTGTTTTGTTTTTTTTTTTCTCCCATAAAGATGGGGAAATCGTGGGCTTTTCTGATGTCCTGCCTCTTGCTATCTTCTAAAATAGTCTGATAGCTTGCTTTCTTGGGTTGTTTTTCTTTTTCCCCATGTGTCTGGGGTTGGGGGGGTTAAAAGATATTACTGACGTTAAAATTAATTTCTAAATTCACAGTTGATACAAATGTTCTATAGAGATATTGCAGAAGGTAAAGGTGAGGATTATTTTAGCCACTGTAATGTTTTACAGCAATTCATGATCACAGTGTAACTTTTTGTTTTAAGGTCCTCCTAATTCTCAAAAATGTTCTCCACCCATCATGTCGTCATCATTTAATCTGACTGATTATTTTAAAATTTCTACTTACGATGCGTGATAGAAATAAATGCCACTCTTCTGTTGCTTGTACACTGTTATCTTTAAGGGAAGTCAACTTTTCAAGTTTAAAATATTTGTTAAATGTCATGGATTACATGGTGCTGTGATCATCATTGCTTATGAATTGGTATTTGAATCACATGCCTAAAAAGGATGTCTCAAGAATCTGCCAGCTTTGCTTTTTTTTTTTAACTCTCGGATGCGAAACTGAATAATAACCTTTAAGATTATTGTCTTTATTTTAGTGTGATAGTAGTAACATCCTTTACAACTTAAATAACTTCCTAAAATCCAGAATCTTGGTATTTACAGCTGAGTAGCGTACTCATTAGTTGCTAGTGAAGATAGGCAAGTCTCACTTGTAGTTAGTTGTCTCTCTAGATTCTAAGGATACAGTTAATGTTGGAATATTGTAGAGAAATGCTTGGGAGGACAAAAAGATTACATGTCCCTGTTATTTCTAGAGAAATTATAAATTCAAAATAACATAATCTGTTTATTATCTTTAGGTATGCAAAAGTAGATTTTAATAGAATATTAACTCTGGGCCAACTTCACCTGTTGGTGGCATGGATGTGCGTGTGACTTCCTCCCTAAATTTTCTCCTCCCTCCTTCTCCATTTGGAAAACATGCTTGTTAGAACAAAAACCGTCATTTTGTCTAGTTACGGGAGCACACAGAATTTTAAAACAGTCATGGTATTCTGAGGATGTGACTTGAGGATGTGAATCTCTCTTAGCCCATTGTAAATGTTTTAGTCTTGTTGAAGATGCTGCATAGCAGGGGCGTCTCTAGAAAAGAGGCTGAAACAAATAACAGAGTCAAATCTGCAAAGCTTGGGCTATTTGAACATTAAAAGAAGGCTTAACTCTAACAAATACCCACTGGCCAAATCCAAGAGAGACGTAAATAGATTACTTTAAAATAGGAAGGTTTTCCTTGTGACCATAAAGCCTGTATTATAATTTCCATGCATGTTTCTTAAGGGTTTCTTTCCAACTGTTAATACAGAGTAGGAATAATGAGGAGTAAATAAAAAAAAATAAGGTATCCACAACTCTGTGTTTTTTAATCTGTTATTTTTGGCTTTTATGTTCACTTTTTTAGCTGTGATGTACTGGTAGTGAAAAAGAATGTAATGAAGATGTAGATCATTCTTGCTGGCTTTTAGCCTTTTATCCTGTCTTGAGCTGCTCAGACACAGTATTGTGATTTTTATAAATCGCACATACTGTTTGGGCTACAGATGCTGTGATGTGTATGTGAAGAGCAATGCTGAATTTTTACAATGTGTTACTATTTCAAATGTAAATAAGATGCTCCTTTTACACTAATGCTTTCTTTTCATGTAAGTATAAGTTAAAATCTAGAGCATCAGCCCATACCTTTTTCTTCTCAAAGTTACATTTTTCATTTCTCTAAAAGGTAAAATGTTCTGCTTTTTCTAAATACTTTCTCAAACTCTATATAATTTCTTTTAAAGATAAACCCAAATTGCCTGAAAACTACACAGATGAAACCTGGCAAAAACTGAAAGAAGCTGTAGAAGCTATCCAAAACAGTACTTCAATTAAGTACAATTTAGAGGAGCTCTACCAGGTAAGTGCTTTAAGTAAAAGCAATGGGGTAGGTTTTTTTGTTTTGTTGGATTTTTTTTTTTTTTTTTTTGCTTAAAACACTTCTGATACAGTGGTAAGAATACGACATTTTGCTTGATAGCTGCTTTTGTCATTGAAAAACTTCACAGTCGTCAATAAAAATTTCACAGGACCTAACATTGAACTTGGAGATTTTTATTTTCTTTTATTTGCCACAACATAATCCAAGGTATGGTTTCCCTTGCAACGGTTGACAAGAATTAAATAAAGCAAGGAGCTGTATTCCCTTTACTGTTTGAGGGTTTATGGTGTGTAGCTGCTAAAGGAGAAATGTGAAACCGTAAAACGTTGGTGTGTAGGTAAGAAAAAGGCAATTTATATTAAAATATAATCCTTTTTCTGAAGATAGTATTTGTCCATGATTGAAGATCGTACATTATTTAACAACTGAAACTTTTTATTTGACTTCTTAGAATTAAACGAATACCATTTTTCTTCATGAATTGTACTATTGTGGTTTGATTGTAATTCGTTTATCATTCAGCATTCTGTCTATTCTGACAACTGATAATCAAAATTTATTCCCAGCAACAGCTCTGATTGTTTTGCCCTCAATGTTTTAGGAAGTGATCAGACTTGAACTGCATTTCCTAATTTTTTTTTTATAATCTCCACTTCTGCTTTTTCCACTGAATGTGTTGGGGAGACTTCTCCCCCTCCTCACCTTTTCCCTACTAATGTTGTGGTACTTGCGGTTTTAGCGGCCTAGCAACAGTACTGCTTTAGCTAGGTATTAAGAAGCACTTAGACTTTTAACTCTACTTTAAAAGCCTTTATTACCTGGTCAGTTGTTTGATTTGTTCCTTTGTGTGTATATAGCCTTCTCTCCATCTGTTTTTAGTGACTCTTCTTCCCCTGCCCTTTCCCTTTCAATAAGCGTTGCATTTGGCTATGATGTCTGTGAAAAGTTGGGGCGAAAAATCCTGTTTGCACAAGGTTTGGGGACAGATTTAGGGAAGGATAAATTGCCATTCTTCATGGAACCAAGATCCTCATGGGCCAAGTTCCTCAGTCCAGTGTGTTTTTAAGCTCACTATAGTATTTTATAATGTTTAATTAATCTAAAATCAGCTCTTTTAAGTTTGTCGGAATAATATATAGTATTGTTAATGTAACAGTAGTAAGTTCTATTGAAAGCCTTGCTTCTGCTTCACAGTTATCACTTAAATTTCTGCTCACTTTTACCACAGGCTTAATTTAATCTTGCTTGGCCTCAGAAAACCAAAAATACCCTTTCTTCTTTTAAATCTCAGTTTTAGCACTGTCATAACTTAGGTATTTTTCAATGAAGTAGAGTGCAATCAAGTATGAAATTTTTCTTTTTTTAATCTAAAAATAAATGTCTTGATTTAAAAATAGTAATAGGAATCGCTAGTGTTTTTAAGTGCTAACTAAACTAATGTCATTTCTGAACAGCTGCTTGGTAAATGGATCTGATGCCAAATATGCCTTGGCAGACACCATTATCCAAGCATAGAGGGGAATCGCAAAAGAGTCTGCAAAAGTTCTGCTGCACCCCTCAAAATAAGATGCTACTTTTTTTTAATGGTGTTAAACTTCTTGAGTTTGGTCATTTGGCTGTCTGCATTGGAAAATCCCACTGAGAAAATGTTTTGAGGCTTTATTTCTTTGTGGGACACTTAGCTGCATACTTGCTTTGTTCCTTGCCAGCAAGAGAACGATACACATCTTTGAGTAGCTGAAGCACTACAGAATTGAAAGCTGCTTTATTAGAAAAATTTTCCTTAGATTAGTGCCAGAAAGTAGAGTTCTAGATCTTTGGTACGAGATCCCTAGTTAATTTTTTTAATCAATCACAGAGTTAAGTACTTTTGGAAAGTTCTGATTTTCTCTCATCAGAGCTGTGTTCAGTTCTTTTTGCTACTTCTCCCCAGCACACAAACCCAGATGTGGATGCTGAAATTCAGAGGGGTGAGGGGGGAAACAGAATAATGTTACACAAAGGAGATACGAACAGCCTTCAGATGTTCTGACCATTGTTGGGGCATGGATTCTTTGATCGGAAAGCTTTATTCCACTAATTCAGAACAAAATAATTTTGTGAAGGAGAGCCCCTAAAGTTGTTGGGAATTCTTGATACATTACAATCATCGTTGTGTAACACTAGTAATTAACTTTGCAAAGCGTAAGATTGCAGTAGTGGCGTTATGCTCCACAGAGCCAATCTTAGTAAAAGGTTTTGTGTTTGTGTGCTTAGAAACTTCATTTGAGCAGAATTCATAAATTAGAATTGAAACATTTCTATGGATATTATCAATGAAGATGCAGAAGTTTTGCACTTGATGTTCAAACACTGAATGCTAGCAGATGTGTTTAACACTGTGGATTTTCTGGTGTCCGTATGCAAAAGTACAGCTTTATATAAACACTACATGAATGTAAGTGTGTATTAATACATGTTAACTTAGTTCGCTAATTGTTAATGGTATGCGTTTGTCCATCTGCCGTACAGAGGCTAATTCTTTTAAGGATTTGGACACCATGGTTAAATAGCACTTGTTTTGATAGAAGTTGTGAAAATGTTGGTAGTTGAGATGGATGAACTGACCAGAAATGGCTGCTGGTGTCCTAGGCTGGTAGGTGGAAGCAAGACTAACTGTGGTTATGCAGGTGACCAGCAAGTTCTATCTAAAACGCTCATCTTCCCAGCTGTCAGTTGGCTTCTCCAAAGTAAGTGGGAGAAAAGAAGAAATCCATTTATTGCACTTGCTGAAGGTCTAACTGGGCTCTTCAAGCTTAGTGTTTTCCATCCCCTTTTTCTTCTGCAATCATAGTAGTGGTTATTTCCTGTTTTGCTGCTGTTTCATTTGGAGCCTGACCCTGCGGGTACAATAGTAGAATAGAGGTGAGCAGTGTCCATAACCTGCTCTGAACAGTGAGTGGTTGAGTATGTTTTCCTATTGCATCATTGTATTTGTTTGGGCTTTCTAAGTGTTAAGGTTGAGAGGTGAATTTGTTGCTATTTCAAAGTATTAAGATATGTACACTTCAGTGATAATTCTGGCTTTCCTAATAATTGTCATTCAGACCTGTTTTAGTCTTAATTGGCACACTCACTCGCTGTACCTCTTTGTTTCTGACAGTAGGCTTATTGGGGGAGTGTGTGTTTAAATTCCTCTATGTCCTAGAGGCAGTATTAGCTGTAGTGTACTTGCTCTAGAAGTTGTTTACTGTTGATACTGAGAGTGGTTACTGTTGATGTTCTAGGATAAACTGAGGAACTCGTTGTTTAGCTGTTTTGATTGTTGCTGTGCTTTTAGTGGTGGCAGCTTACTGTTTGCTGGTGGCTTCTATTTGGACTGTTGGGAAATATTCTGGAGGACTTCAGTGTAATGGAGTAGATCTGCTCTGTGTACTTCTCAAAAACGCCATCCCTGCATGGTTGCCTGCGGTTGCTGGGGAACAAACTTGATCTTCCAGTCCTTTTTTTCCTATGAGTTGGCTGAAGTATTTTCCATTTAAAAAAATAAAGTGGAGAGGCATTAGTTGAAAATCCTATATAACTTTTCTCTCTTGCTTCTACAGCTGTTTTACAGAATAATCGCATATTGTGTCTTTCACCAATCCGTGTGTTATGAGTTAAAGTTGTTCAGTTGCCTTCCAAACTCGGGCAATTGGTATAAATTTTGGAAAAGCCTTGAGTTACTCTTACGGACTTAAGAATACTTGTTTGTTTGATCAATCTCCAAGACATATTCCCATTAAACTTCTTTTTAATTCTTGCTGTGAAGCACAGCAACAATTCTTCTAATACTTGATTGTAATCTAGAAGTCTGAGATTTGTCATTGTAAACATCTGGAATGTAGTCATACTACTAAAAACTGTTCAGGATTATAACTAAATGTATTCAAGCAAGGGGGTGATAGAGAGAGAGAGAGAGAGAAAATATGTATATACTTTTGGGGATGAGGGGAGCTTAATCAAGGGAAGGACTGCAAAAGGAAATAACACTAGCAGTGCTTTTTTACTAATGTCAGTGTGACTTTCAGAGCACAGCAGTTAATAAAATTAAGACCTAAGTGTCTGCTTTGAAGTATGAAACCCAGCACGCTGCTGGAACATATTAAACTAACATCCTTGTTCTTAGAGATGCAAGTCCTGCAGTTCCTTATGAGATATTGGTACTCCGACTGAAACTAATGAACTCTAAGCTGTTGGGGGCACGGCCTTCCTTTGTCTCCTCCACAGTTATAGTGCCATATATAGTGCCATGTTTCTCTAGTGTTTTGCATGCAGCTGATAACTATTTTACAATTAAAAGGTGGTAGATTTTGGAGTGAGAAGCAGAAGAATTACATGGTTGGTTTGGGGCTTTTTCCCCCTTTCCTTGTAAAACCATATAAAATAGTATGAACAGATTTCTTAGTATCTGTTTCTCTTTACTTCAGGCTGTTGAAAATCTCTGCTCCTACAAGATTTCTGCAAACTTGTACAAACAATTGAGACAGATCTGTGAAGACCACATTAAAGCACAAATTCACCAATTCAGAGAATATCCTTTTCTTAGCTGTTGACAATCTAAAACGTTTTTACCTGCCGCTATGTGGTGATGCATTTCTTTGATTAGTTTATGACAGTAGGCTGTGGTAATCTGAATTCCTAGTTTTTGCATAATTGGGTCTGTTTCCATTGGTTTATGGGACCTCAGAGAATACTACTAGTTCCTTTATGTCTGTAAACATTTGAAAAGTTTGTGAAAAAGTTTAATTGGTATTTGTGGAACACTTTGTCTTACAAAAGCTCATATTAGACTTAAAGAAAAGCTTTAAAAAAGGCTGTACTGGCTATATCACTTCAGGCTTTTTTTATGTGCTGATCTTGCCATGCTCAGGTAAAGAGAAGTCTTCCAACAAGTAGTTCTTGTTTTCTTTTTGAAAAGTGCTAGTGATCTGGCAGCATAAAACATTAGTGGTTCTGAGGATCAAAATGCTTTGTTTTCAAAAGTTTTGACCAGCATCAGATCAAGATCCTGTTAAGTGGATATTAATTACTACCAGAACTATGCAGTGAACTGAGTAGAAGTTACATTTCAAGAACAAAATTTACCTCTTTAATGTGAGCTGAAATGATAGTATCTGTGTAGTGGTGGGCTCTTACAGGTATTGTGGATTGTTGGTTTTTGAGGTGCGGGGATATGTATGTTTGTTCCACTCACCAGGATTAGACAAAACATTCAAAAGTACTTAGATCCTCTTTTTTTAAAAAAATTGTTCAAATCACTTTGATTTCTCATTATTAACAAGAGGGTACCCTCATTAAAAATAAAAATAAACATGTTGCAAGAAGTTAACTGGTTCTTTTTGGGAATAGTTGAGTTTGTTCTCTCTGTTAAGTGTCTTTAAAAAATAATAATGTTGGTTCATTTCATTGCTAATGCTACCTATTAATCATAATTTTCTTAATGATTTCTTCACGGATTCATTGGATAGTGTCCTTTTTCTAAAGAAAATAGACAAATGTTGGCAAGATCACTGCAGACAAATGGTAAGTTTTTTATCTTTTTAAAGAAAACCAGTTGCCTAGTCAGCCTATGTTTTGCTTAACTCTTTTCCTTTACAAACATAATGGTGCTTCTGAAATGTTGTCTTAAATTTATATAAGGCTTCTTCGTAAAATGCACCTGTATATAGTTTGTTAGAAATCGAGCCTTGAAAACACTTGTTTGTAGTGTTTCTGGACACATTGGTTGATCTTGGACACACACCCCCAACTCCTAACTGTTGTTTCTATGCAAATCTTTCTCCTTTTATACCTATTATAAAGGAACCTATTCTTTTATACAGAAAGATGCTAAATGTCACATTGATCATCTCACTGAGAGTGGCAGGATATTTTAAACAAATCAACGCTACCTAAGAAAACACTACCTGAAACCTGTCAGTGGGATTTTTTTTTGTTGTTGAACATAATTTGTTTTGCTTTTCAATTTCAAGAGTAAAATGATTGTGGCTTTTTTATTCCTCCTTATAACAGATTATGATTAGAAGTATCTTTCTGTTCTTGGATCGAACTTATGTACTTCAGAATTCAATGCTGCCATCTATTTGGTAAGGGCACAAAGAATAAAATTAGTGGGGTGTATATTATTGCGTAGATCTTACTGATTTTCAGGGGGTTTTATATTATAAACTTTATAGTGACCGGTAAATTAGATGGTGAATGCATACATGCTTGTGTCAAAGGGAGATTTCACTTTTCATTTATTTGCTATGAATAACAGGATTCTTCTAGAATAGCTGTGATAGCAAGTTTTAGCCAAGTAGGCATCAACCTCCCGTTTGCACGGTAAAAGGAAAGGGCCTGTCCACAACTGAAGTGTGAGGGTTTGGGTTGCCCAGTTACTGGCTTTAATGTGCGTAGTATTCAAAGTTCTGTAAGTATTTTTGAAGGAAGAAGTGACGTAAAATAAAAGCAAGTTACTCTCTTTTGGACTTCAACCTTCCCCCACCCCCCAGTATTTTAATAAATATCAAATGCCCTGCAGTGCCTTTGGCACTACCTGAATTAATTTGCCAGAGATTGAAGGAGTGGTGGATGGAGGGCCTGGCTTTTCCTAAATATTTCCAGACCCACAGTTTCAAATTCATGGAAGGTTTTAACTGGGATGTCCAAAGCAGAGATCCTTCTCTTTCACATCACTGAGTTGTTCTAAGCTCTGCCTAAGAATTAGAGATTAGAAAGTGATGGACAAAAAAGAATATTGTCCAACAGCTTAGCCATGGAGTTGGGACCCAGGATGACATTATCCTTTCCTCATGAAAGCTGCTGTTCATTCAGTTTCCATCATCCTGCCAAGCAAGTGAAAAATAAAGACAATGCAAAAGTTAGGTGGTTATTTAGGAAAAATGGGTGATTTGGTCTTTAGCTTGTAAGCCTGTAGCTTACTGTTATTTTAGTGTTTATGTGTTTGTTCATCTTGAGTGATTTGGAGGCAGAAGAATGAGGACTTCAAAGAATGCTAGTATTTATTGGCCTCTCTTTGATCTAGATCAGATTTTATTGATAGAGAATATTCAGGGTTGATTCATATGCAATTTCTTGAACAGTATTTTCTTTTTAGGGATATGGGGCTAGAATTGTTCAGAACTCATATAATCAGTGATCAGAAGGTTCAGAACAAAACTATTGATGGCATTCTTCTGCTGATTGAGAGGGAAAGAAATGGTGAGGCTATTGACAGGAGTTTACTGCGAAGCCTTCTAAGCATGCTTTCTGACTTGCAGGTGGGTAAACGTGTTTCACCTTTAAACCGATAAACAGCTCAAATTCTTATCTGGTGCTCAGTAAGCTTTACCCTGGACTGTTGTTCTGTTGTTTCCCTAGATTTATCAAGACTCTTTCGAACATAGATTCTTGGAAGAGACTAACCGCCTGTATGCAGCAGAGGGACAGAGGCTTATGCAGGAACGTGAGGTATATTGAATGTTTAACAATATTGGTTACGCTTGATGATGAAGCATTTGTCAGGGAGAGGAACTATTCTGCTGCCTTAGCCAGCGTACAGGGCAATAATGTGATGTTTATGTTTTACAGTACTCTGGAAAAGCAAATTCACGTGCAGTTGCCTTCAGTCACAGTGCTAATGATTTCTGCTTAAAACTGGAGCTGCTGCTGTCAGACCAGTCTTGTCTTTTTTTTTTTTTTTTTTTTTCCCCCCCCTTTTTTTTTTTTTTTTTTTTTTTTTAAAACATACAAAACTACTCTGGCATTTTCAGGTTCCAGAATATCTTCACCATGTCAACAAGCGCTTGGAAGAAGAAGCAGACAGGATAATCACTTATTTAGATCAGAGCACACAGTAAGTGCAATCTCTCTTTGCTTGGTACTGTTAGCTTTTGGCTCTTCCTCTGTGGAGGGCTATCTAATAGCTACAATTTATTTCAGTTATTGACTGACCATCAAATGCTTCTCACTTCCCACAATTCCTTGTTTACAATGAAGCACTGTCTTGGCTCACATAGCTAATACCCTTTTCTTTTAAGCCACTAGTTATTTTGATACAAACATTGTTGGGCATTTGGTCAGAGGAAAATAGGCTGGCATCCCCAGTCCAAATGTGTCTTAAATGCAATTAATCGGCTCCTGTCCTACCTGAAAAAGATAGGACCCAGGACAGAGAATTCTCAAGCTGAAGGCTCTGAATATTTACATTAAAATATTTGCATATTCTTTATGGAGTCTGGGAAATTATTGACTAATGTCACTCTTCAGTCTTTCCTAATTAGAGGCAGGATTTCCTCAAATACAGTCAAGTGGAGGTCATGACTGGTAGGACAGGAGAAATGTTCTCCTAACATAAAGCCATAGCTGTTGTGTCTGAGAGAAAATGTAGGTCACTAATACAAGAAAACTCTTTGACCAAGTGGTAGCGACTTCTTACAGAGCAAGTACAGAGGATCTCTCTGAGAGGAAGGTGGCTACTGTCACACATTTTTATTTCCTTCCTCCTTCAGCTGTTAAAAACATTGAGCTTGTTTAGTGGCTTCCTTCTTCCACACCATTATTAGTGGCCAACTCCCTATTTTGTTTTAATACCTCTTGACTTGTGAGGTGTGGTTTTTCTTCTCCTTGGTTTGTCTCCCAAGACATGAATCTCCTCCCACAAAGCAAGAGAAGGTATATTCTTTGACAAAGTTTTGCCCAGTTTCTTCACTTACAGAATCATTGTCCAGCTGCATAGAGGTCATGTACAACAGGCTTATTGTGTGAGTTAAATCCTCGGTCAGCAAACAGAAAAAAAGATTGCTTACTGGGGAGGAAAAAGGATAAATATGCATATAATCATTTTAGGTCCTTGGCCACAGATAATTAGAGCGCTCCCAATGACAAGTGTAGTTAACATAATCTCAAAAAAAGGATTTAAAACTGTCAGTAATGGAAAAAGGAAAAGTAATTCTAAACATTTTTTCTATAGGAAGCCACTAATTGCTACTGTAGAAAAGCAACTTCTAGGTGAACATTTAACAGCCATTCTTCAGAAAGGTAATCTTTCTTCTTTATAGAAATGTTTCTAATTACTGCTTTGGGGCTTTCAATTCCTGTGCTGAAAAAGAAAGTGACAGATTCAGGTGCTGGGGGAGGACTCAAGCTGCATCATTCTTTAACGCCTTTTGCTACTCAGTTCATGAAATAGCATTGACCGTTTTGCAAGAGGGCAAGTACCAGTCTCCTTGTCAGAGGTAAGGAGATGCAATGCTGTCTTCAGATACACAGCAAAGCGGAAGGAAAACTAGAATAGGGGACTCTTGAGTTCATTCACTGTGTTAAATAGCATTTTGAAGACTCAGAGGTAAAGGAGTAGCCTTTGAATTATGGCTGTACCAGAAAGGGGAAACACTGATTACTCACTGCTTAAAAAAAGCAGCTTGTTTTAAAAATTTAGTACAATTTGAGTAATGAAGTGCGTTGCCTCAGTTCTGCAATAGTATCTGTGGAGTCAGGTGATCCTCTCTTGCTCTGAAGGATAGTCTGGAAATAGATATGGGTGCAGCAAGAGTTGAATAATAAAACAATCAAGTCCCTTACTAGCCAGATTCTGGATGAAACAGGTATGTGAGCATCTTCCTGCACATCTATAACAGACTCTTTACTGAGAGGAGTATCAAGTTTGCAATATTTACCCATCTGCTTTCTTAGAACCTTGCTGTGGAGCATCAGGCCTTCTCTGCCAAAAATTTAAAAAGTGAAAGGTGAAGGTATTTCTTGAAGCTGCTTGCCTTCAAACATCTGTAAAATTTATTTTACAGCTGGAATTGAGACTCAGAACTCTGTCTTGCCAAGGAACCTTTCCTACAGATCAGTAGAGCATAAACTTTTCAAATCTTTAGGGAATAGTAAAGCAGAAGTAAGTAAAGGTGTTGTGAGAAATATGTTATTTAAGGTACATATGTAGCCTAAAATAGCCAGTGCAATAACAAGGTTTTTAAGGTTTGAGCCAGTTCAGGTAGCCATTCTGTGTTTCACTGTTAAATTAGGTAGCTGAAAAAAAGAAAAACAACCCCGAAACAACAAAAAATCCTACCCTTGCTTGATAAAAAAAATACCAGCTTTGAAGAGGTCCCTTACTGTAATAATATGCTGCGCTTTCTTTGGATTACCCTGGTTTTAATTTCTGTTGAAATTCTATCATTTGCAGGTTTAAACCACCTTCTTGATGAAAACCGAATTCAAGACCTATCTCTTCTGTATCAGTTGTTCAGTCGTGTGCGAGGCGGAGTACAGGTTCTCTTGCAGCACTGGATTGAGTACATAAAGGTACTGTTTCTAGAACTCTGGAACAGATACCGGTATTGTATTGATGGGGTTTATACACGGATATTTGAGTCATCTGTATAAACTATTGCATTTTTCTAAGAACTAAAGACTACTTGCTTATAAACATTTGTTTAATGGGCAGCTTTTGAAACTGTACTAGAAAATGTACGGTAACTGTTCTAGCCCTATCAAAGAAAATATTGAACGTTCAGTTGAATTATTGAACTCCCGATAAATTTGGAGTTTTTAACTTGCTTATAGTTAGTTGTGGGGGAAAACTATATTTCTCCAGTAGACAGTCTGGTAATGGCAGAACGTTTCTGTCTTCTTATCAGAATGAGTGGTAGCTTAAGTTACCAAACAATTGAAGTTCAAAAAGCACTTGAATATCACTTAAGATATTTCATCTTATTACTCAGTGAAAATGCTGTCACAGAAAATATAGTTGTTTTGAAGGAAGGCTTTGTAATGGCATAGGAGTACTGGGAAATAAAATTGGGTTTAGTGGGAGCTTTACCCATGTAAAACCCAAAGATACAGATGTTTAAAAGGTCTGTTAATTTTGTCATGCTTATTTCTTCAGACGAAAGTTCTGAATCTGTTCGCTTATTCATAGATTGGTTTTGAATCAACATACAAGGTCTAGGAATGATTATATAGGAAATACTTCATAATGCTGTTACTTGTATTGTGTTGGTGGAACTAATATGAAACAAGACATTACAAAGATACTTTAGGCTTTTAGAAGTCCTGTAATTTAAATTCATTATTCAGGCTGATTGAAAGATATGTTTTATTTTGCAGGCATTTGGTAGCACCATAGTAATTAATCCAGAAAAAGACAAAACCATGGTCCAAGAACTACTTGATTTTAAAGACAAAGTTGACCATATTATTGATGTTTGCTTTCTCAAGAATGAGAAGTTTGTAAATGCCATGAAAGAAGCCTTTGAAACATTCATTAACAAAAGACCAAATAAGCCAGCTGAACTCATAGGTATTTTTCTTCAGTTTCTTCCTATGTGAGATTTGGGTGGGGGACAAGAGTGAGTTGCTGATGCAGCTTACAGATGGGATATGATGGAATTGTGTGTTAAAAGACATGCACAATGCATTGTCAAACTGGGGATCTACTGTGCCTTATTATGCAAGTGAAGTATTTGATAGGATAGCATTAAACATTAAGAACAAGTTCATCAGTTCACTGGCTAGGCTATAGAAAAGGGAAGAACATTAGAACTTGGGCATTCCAGTAATTAACTGGTATCCAGATGTGAGAATACTGCTAATAATTTGACTTTTTCTGAAGCTTACATAACTGTGCCACCAACACATCTGCACGGAGCTGTTAGGGGCTCTACACAGATATCTATGTTTTAATATACAAAAGTGAAGAGAGATGAGGATGCACTGTACCTCTCATGTTATGGGGACAGAGCCTCTGCAGTTTGCAAAGAACGTTGTTTACAGATTTGTGCATTACAAGCCTGGCTCTCTGCACTTTTGAAAACCTTAATCATTTCCCCACACAGTGAATAATACCCGCTTTGCAATCTGTTGTGCCGTTAGGCTTGCGCAGTAATGCTTTCTGCCCTCCTTTTTTTAAATTAATTCACTAACTGTAATGTGCTTACCAAACCATTTGAAATTAAAACAAACAGTAATCTGCTGGAGAAATTCAGCAGTACAGTCAACACACTTAAATAACTGGTTTACATATTTTTCTTGTGATCTTTTTGCTTCTGTTATAGCCATGTCAATCTATAGCAATAGTGACTTCTTACTTTGAGATCATAATATGGACCAGGATTTTTTACACAAGCAAAAATTTTTTTTTAACATGGATGCTAATAAAGTTAAAATGCAGTAATTGCTTATCTGAAAAAAAGAGATTAGGCCGGTTTTGTAACTTTATAGCCTCTATGAAAATATATAAATCTAGCTGTGATGAAACTGACTTGAAGGTAGTTTCAGGATCCTTTACACTTCCAAAAGATTTCACAATATTACATTTTTTTAAAAAAATTTAAATTATTGTTTCATTGTGATACTAAGCATATGCTAAACTTTTTATTCCTCAACACTTTTTTAGCTAAATATGTAGATTCAAAGCTTCGTGCAGGCAACAAAGAAGCTACTGATGAAGAACTTGAAAAAATGCTGGATAAAATTATGATCATATTTAGATTCATATATGGTAAGTATTAGGATTTTTATGGGGATACAATTGTTTCATCAGTAACATAAAAGTACTTTGAAATAATTTTTGCAGTCTGCATTTTCAAGTGTTCATTCTCTGTAGATGCAGTTTGCTGGTGTAGTGCTCTTAACAAGTTTGTGTGTTAAAATGCCAATAACAAGACCTGACTCAAAATCTTACTGTGGAAATCTTAACATGAGGGCCCTTGTTAGCTTTACTAAGCTTTGAATCGGGCCTCTTGTAGGTAATGTTTGTTTAAAACGCTGATTTGTAATCACTGTTGAATTTCATCTCTTACAGGAAAAGATGTCTTTGAGGCCTTTTATAAAAAAGATCTAGCAAAAAGACTATTAGTTGGGAAGAGTGCATCAGTAGATGCTGAAAAATCTATGCTTTCCAAACTCAAACATGGTAAATACCGATCTATCTATCTACTTGCTTTCTTTTAAAAATAGTCATTTTAACAGGCCTTCCTAGAAGTGCTGTTTGTATTTCCCCTTAACATGAGGTTAAAACCTCATGTGCAAGTCTTGAATGACTGGTGGGTTTTGAGGAGACTCATTTGCTTTTAGTTTTGTAATTATAGTAGCAATAGCCAAAAACCAGGAGCTTAAAGTGCACGGTGTACCTTGGCCTGTGGGATAGAGGTTCGCTGCTGAATAAGTCAGTGATGTGCTTGGAGAACTTGAGGATGACTTCCGCTTGCTGCTCACTCCGTATAAGGTCTGAAACATGAAGCTGCCAGCTAGCAGTCTTCTAGTCAGGTCTTCACTGTTTCATAGGATGGAGTCTTTGGGTGGTAAGAGTACGATAGTTAGAACTTGATCTTGTTCTGTCATCAAGACACAGTTTGGCAGGCAGCCCATGGGGATTAGAATTGTCTGAGTGACAGGTTGCCAGGGGAGTCCTAGGATGAACAGTCATGTCCACATGGAAAAACACTTGAGTTGCAAAATAGCTGCCACATTAAAACATTTTCCCTCTTCTTGTTTATAACCCTATTCCGTATCTTAATTAGAATCCAGGTCTTTATGTAAGGATATATGCTGGAACAGGTTGTTTTGTTTCAAAGTGCGTTCTGATATTTATCATAGCTACTCTGTGGTGTTGAAAATATACAAGGTTAATTTTTAAGATTTCCACTTTCTCTTTTACAGAATGTGGAGCTGCTTTTACCAGCAAACTTGAAGGAATGTTTAAAGATATGGAGCTTTCAAAAGACATAATGATACAATTTAAACAGGTACTGCAGGAAAGCCTGTCGTGGCTCCTTCATTTACTTGCTTTTTGAATGAGTTACACTCTGAGAGCCTAACAAGAGGGTGCAGGATATCTTCAGTTGTGAACATTTCTGTTGTAATTGAGTTAAACTCCTTTTGTCTTATTCCAGTTGTCTGTAATGTTCTTTCACTACAGAGGAAAGGACTTTGAAGGTGATTACTTTCAAATGGAGTGGACAAAAGCCCAACTGGGAAAACACCCTCTACTGAAAATCAGTCAGAAGCTATTTCTTAATTCTGTGCTGTCTGTACTTTTGAAAATTTTACTGAATTTATTAATGGTTTACCTGAACAACAAAGCAAAAAACCAGAAACAAGAAGTTGCTTAAAAAAAAAAAACAAAAAAAAACAAAAAAAAAAAACCAAAAAAAACCCACACAAACACCACCCGCAGTAATAAAAGTATTGTAAACTTATAAAACATTTTATAGTGGTCGTAAAAATGTTTTATAATTGGTGTTATTCTGATGGACTGGCTTGCAAGTTTTTGAACCAGAAACAAGAAGTTGCTTAAAAAAAAAAAAAAACCACACAAACACCACCCGCAGTAATAAAAGAATTGTAAACTTATAAAACATTTTATAGTGGTCTTAAAAATGTTTTATAATTGGTGTTATTCTGATGGACTGGCTTTTAAGTTTTTGCCCCTTTCGTCGGGG